CCAGGCCTAAGGTTATTACATCACCCCGTGGTTTCTGGGCAGGCCAAGAGCACTGGTTTGGGGAGTGGGGGATCCAGCCAGGAGGTGCTGTTGCCTCTGTGACCCCAAATCCCAGTCCTAGCAGCAGCCAATCCAGCAGGAGCTTCCAGGTGAGGGAGGAGCATACAAAATGTGACCAATGGGCCCAAAAAGCAGGCCTAGAAGAGCACCGATCTGAGCCTGGCAGGTCAGGACAGGAGCCTGTAAACAGCTTCCTTGTGATGTAGATGGTGAGAGAGGCAAACACTCTCACTTACCGGGGGACAGGGGTCACTGTCATGGCAGAACTTATAAGAAATGCATTTCCACCTTGTGTCCCCGCTTATGGCTTGTTTGCAGGGAGCAGAGTTACCACCAGCCGCTGCATTCACAGATCTACAGAAGGAGGGTCTGCCGGGCAAGGAGGTAAGGAAGGAAAGGCGTGGTCCTTTTGGATTTAACCCACAGGGCCAGGTTCTAGGGCTTCTTGGAGTCCCAGATCAGATCGTGAAGGAAGTGAACTAGAAAAGACGGAGAGAAAGGAAAGAAAGAAAAGGGGGGGGGCGGGGAGGAAGGCAAGTCCAGTGACCTCAGAGTGGCCACAGGAGGGAACCAGGAGGAGACAGAGGCAAAGGGCCTTCGTACATGCCTGAGGGCATGGTTTGCAAGAGGAAAAGAGTGAAGGCTCACGAGACCACATTTCCTGGGAGATGGCCTTTTCCCAGAGGAGAAAGCACAGAGTTTTGTCATACAGAAAGAGAAAAAAAACAAGACTTCTATCAATCACAGCTGTGGGAAAGTCCCTGCATGTAGTAAAATCCAAAGCAGTAAGATATGGATGAAGGATGAGATGAAGCCTAATTATTGTCATTTCCTTAATCTCTTTACTCTCTTCTCTAAGATATATTATAGATGATTACAATGTTTTGAAATTCTAGTTATATTGAGAAATGCCTTCATCACTAGCCCCTGATACCAAAAACTCAGCAAGAGTTCCTGTTTTCTTATAAAAGCAGAACAGAGTCTCTGGCCAGCTTGCATAGGAGAAGATGCTGTCTCCCAAATTCTAGGATGTTCACCGCCAGGTGTGCTGTCTGCCTGGTTGCAAGAAGAACTCCTGGTACAATGGAGGCGAGAATCAAACAGAAGTCCAACAGGCAAACCTGCTGCCGCTGACCCTGCCACATACTCAGAAGGAGACACTGACCATGATGAACACATGACAAAGCCTTAAAAACGAGGGCCAAAACCTCCAGGAGGAGGGAAGGAGACAGGATAAGTCTGCAGGCATATGTGTCATGTTATTGCAAAACTTCAGCTGCCCAGTGGAACCTTTCCAACATCAACAGTCCCCAGGCCAGAAGACAAACCTGGCGTCAGAGGGTCTGAATGTGAAAGAAGGATGTTTGGGGTGTAAAAGAAACTGGGATGCCTTTTTGCCTCTGAGAGAGAGAAAGCTGAGAAGAAGAGCTCTCACTCAGTCGGCTCTCAGAGTCCCACTCCAACCTCCCCAGAGGCAAGGGCAGAAGCTCTCCTGGACCCAGAATCTTTCATTAAACTCTAATGGGAAAGTGGCCCAGGGGCCTGACTCAGAGGCTCTAGTCCATACCAGAACCAGCCGCCCAGACCCAAGTTAACATACAAGTCTATCTGACTTCTCATCAGACCAAGTGAGATCATGTGAAAAGTGGCTAGCACAATACATCAGGATATTCCATTGAGTTTGTTTTCAATAATTCACGTACACCTACTATGTGCCAGGCATTTTAGATACATTGAATTCTCAGAAAAATCCTGCAAGGCATTAATGATTTTAACTAATAAGTAAGGAAATCAAAGCTCGGGGTAGTTAATTAACTTTCTCAAGGTAACCCAGCCTCTCAGTGGGAAGCAAGCATCAGAAGCCAGGTCTATAGGTTTGCCTGATACCAAAGCCCATGCTTCTACCATTACGTGGTTGATCTCATCTACGTACAAAGATTCCCTACCCCCCACCTATGAAGGCCAAGCCTCAGGATGCTTCCTGGGCAACCCACTTGTGAGAGCACACACAGGACAGGATGTTAAAGCTCACGTGAGAGCAGAAAGTGCAACGTGAGCTGCCTAAAGAGTTTTGCGCTAATGCAGGCTTCCCCAGGCATGTCAGGAAACATCTCAGGAGGCACAGTCCCTACTTCTAGGAAAGGGGCCCCAAAACCTGAGAAAGACACACCCCCCTACACACGCTCCCATCCAAAGCCTTCTACTTCAATCTTATATAACGGGGCCAGCAAACTTTTTTTCTGTAAAGGATCAGATCATATTTTAGGCTTTGCAGGCCAGACAGTCTCTGTCACAACTCTTCAACTCAATGGTTGCAGCACGGAAACAGCCATAGACAGTATGTAAAGAAATGGACATGGCTGTGTTCCAATACAACTTTGCTTGCAAAATCAGGCAAGCGGCCATTTGCCACCCTCTGTTACATGCCTATGTGACACAGTGTCCCTCACACCTAATTACATCAAAAAGGTTGACAGGCACTCAGTCAGTTTTACCACCTGACCATGATGGAGAATGTCCCTAGTTTATTAGAAAATGCCTATGGTATCAACCTCTGATAGTGACTGCTGGTCTCAGTTACTCCCAGGGAACCTTTAGCCCTCCTCCAACTATCCTGTCCTATACGCTAAACTTACAGACATAACTGGGGCAAACCAGGAAAAAATAAAGGTGGCTGGGTGCCTCTCACAAAAGGAAGGGGATTGTACCTGCCTGGAAACCATTTTTCAATATGATCCCATACTCATGCAATTGGAAACTACACAGGGGAAGAACGAGTGGGAAGGGGAAGGACTTGAGCGGAAGCAAACATCACCAAACTTGACACTGCCTCTTTACTATACACAGAGAATGCAGCTCAAGAAGATAGGCGCTCTATTCCCAAAGAGAAATCATTTTCTCCAGCCCCACCACTTACTAGCTGTGACTCAGGGCAAGTTACTTCCTCTCTCTCATCCTTTGACTCTTCATCTGTAAAATGGGGATAATAACAATACTTATAGGGTTATGGTGACACTCAGATGAGAAAACACATAGCTGATATGGACTAGCTATGATGACACTGATGATTCTGACTTTACTGACGATGATCTTTTCTCCTCATCCTTCTCCAAAGCAAACACGTTGAGCTAGATTCCCTAATAGATATAACAGACAGGCAGTAAAGCCCTTGCCTTCACAGAGTATAACTTAGGTAGAGAAATTAACCACTGGTAGGCGGAAAAAAATCATGGAAGCAGTTGCTAAATGTCAAACGAATGCTTCAGGCAAAAGGTGCTGTGTAATTTCAGAGAGAGCTCTCCCTCTTATCTACCCCTTGGTCACCGTATGAGAATTGAGCCTCCTACTGGAGCTCTGCAGACCTGCTGGGGGCTCAGGGAATGCGGGGACCTTTTGCAGATATCACTTCCAGATACCACAGGCACCAAAACCACTTCTCTTTGACTTATCATATTTGCCTAACAGTGAAGGGGGAGTGGAGGAAGGATCTAAGAAGCTTCCTAATAGATGTTCTTGCTTAGAGTGACAATCACAAATTCTTTCTCGATTGAAGAATTATCACTAGAAGAAGTATCGTTAATAGTCCCATTTTCCCTATCAATGATGATGATAATAATAAATACAATTGTACCTACAATTTATCATGCACTTACTATTTATCACTTAGCCAGACATTGGTTAAGTACCATACAGACTAACTCAGTTAATCTTTACTCACCGTCCTTTAAGAGAGAGATTATGATCCTGGCTGAGAACTGAGGCTCAGTGGGCGTGGCCGGGGCAGGGGTGGGGCAGGCATTTAACTTGGCTGGGTCACTTACTAAGTGTTGGAGCCAGAACGAGAACCCCTGTTTGCTGATTCCAAAGCCTGTGTTTTAACCATGGCACTCTTCTGCCAAAGACTCTGGCCCATGGGATGTCACATGGGCTCCTTCCCACCCCAGCATCCCACACCTCCTCCGGCTTCTATCATACAGGGAACCAGACACATGCCGAGGTACTCAGCAGAAAAAATCAACCAGGGCTATGTGACTTCACCTCATGGTCTAAACCATTCCGTGCACTCCAGTCCCCATGACCTTTAGGACAAAGCTGGCATACTATACAGAAACCAAAAGGGGGGCAAGGACAGCACACTCATTCATTAATGGTCATGCAAAACCCTGCCTGCCAGGTGAAAGGGATGTATCTTTAGTTTACAGTCCTTGCTATCTATCAGAAAACGATGATATGGCTAAATTCAACAACCAGGCATAAATATGCCAAGTAGCGTTTCTCACAACGAAGTCTGAGGCTGAAAGAAGGATGATTCCACCCCATCCCCCCGGAAAGAGATACAGATTGGATCTGTTAATACATTTTCCTGTCGATGGACATCTGGTCTTTTTTGATGGTAAATGAACTTTATCAACTTTGGTCTTCATTGATGGTAAATGAACTCTAATCTGACCACTCTTCAGAAATTACCACCTTTCTACAAGGGTTCAGCCAGTACCAAAACCTGAACACTCACAAGACCCTCAAAAGATCAAACCAGAAAAGATAAGATTGGAGGGAGCTATTTAGAGCCTTAAAAACACATAGATCCAAGGCTCTTAAGGTTTGAAGTCCAACTTCTCTATGCCCAGCCATTCTTCTTTCAAATTCTTCTGCATGGCATATAGAAAGTCAATTAAAATATTAAAACATACCATCAAACTTTTTTTAGCTAAAAGGATCAGCTACTCATGAAAGACGATCCCTAAACTATTAATTGAAGACAAAGTTGGAAGGGAATAATCCCGTCTCATCTCCGCATTTTACAGCTGTGGAAGAAACTGAAGGCCAAACTTGTTAAATGACTTACCCAAGCCCACACAGTGATAGTCATGAAGCAACCATATGGCACCCGTGGACAGATCAAGTACATATCAATACATAATCCAAGGCAGATTATTTACCTGAATTTCTTACATTGGTATTGTTCAGTTTGGAGTCCTTGATTACCAAGTGCTTAATCCAGAGAGTGGGAGCTGTGATTTCTGGAAAAAAAAAAAAAGAAACAGAAGAAGAAGAGAGAAAATAATGTCTGGGCAAAGAGAGTATGTAACTTGGAGTGTAGCCCCCAGACTTTTTAACAGCTTTTCTAAAAGCCTGAGGCATCAAGGCTTGAGCCATTTCCCTCGTCCCATATCCACTTTGTCCCAACACCCTTTTGCTTCCTTTCTATGGAAGATCATCTCCCCATCAGCTCATAGGAGCCAACCAGGGCCTCCTGTGCTGGGAAGCCGAGTGGTCAGAGTCCAGAGGCACTGAGCCACTCCATCCAGGAATAAAAATATTATCCCAGGAGGTGAGGGACACACGCCAAGCCAAGCCTTTCTCAGCTGCTTCCCTGGAAGAGGATTTAAAGGGGGTAAATCAACAAACGAATGCCAAAGAAACCACAGAGACCATTTTAGAGGAAACAGCTGAGCCGCAGCAGGTTTTAGCTTTTGCTGAGATTCTGCTTCACATGGGGAAGAAAGTAATGGGTCTAATGTGTGCTTCAATCCCCTTTCTAATAGTTTCTCATCGAACAGAGGCTGAATTCCTCCATCCAGAGAGTTCCAGGGTGCCTCCAGGCTCTCCAGGGGCGGGGTCACCCAGTGGACAGGTGCCACGGAAGTCTGAGGATGACCCTGAACACACTGTAGAGGGACGAGATCTTCCATGAGTGTGTTGGGAAGGTCTTCCAAGCTGACATGGTCTCCATTCCACTGCCCCCTCCCCAGTCAATCCTCCAGGGTCCCAGACTTACCAATGATCTAGGACATTTGTGGATCACAGAAACATTTTAACTTCTAGGCATGAACACACACATATGTTCCACTCCATGACCAGTTGCAAAGGATATTTCACATTTCTATCTAAAGCTGAGCCTGGGCTAGAGACATCCTTAGCCACAGAACCAACCAGTGGCATCATTTCTTTTTATTCCTCTGTCTCACTGTCCAGTCTTAGGATCCAAGCATGGATATACTCGGCTGAAAGCTGCTGAAAGGTTGCCATATATTGCACCGAGCTCCACATCTCATTGTCAGACTTTCTAGAAACAGCACTCTGCCGAGTTTCCTGCCCCTCCTCATGGGAGCCTGGAGACCTTAGCAAAGCACACTGAAGAATGTAGGCCCTGAGCAGCTCAAACTCAAATCAAAGCCAGTCTTCTGCACCCAAGCTCCTCCTGTCCGTTCCTCATACCTCCAGAGATATCCAAACTCTATTTTGCCACCAACCACCACTATTTCTCTTGACCTAGAATTTCTCCTCTCCCAATGTCTTGACTCAACTCTCAAGGTCCCTACAACTCAGCCAAACCAGCTCCATACACCAGTCTCTTTCCTGCTACTTTCCTCACTATACCCCATCTCCACCATATTCTCTCCTTTGCCCATGCCAGTGCCCCTGCCTGGAACACCCTGATTCCTCCCCCACGTTTTCAAGATCCAGCTCACGTTCCCTCTCTTCACAGAATCTTTTCCCATACCACTGTGATCTCTTTCTTCCATACATGTCTATTACAGAAAACAAACAAACAACATAGAGTTCCATACAGAAAGTTCTCCTATAGTTGCCGATCTCTTGAGAGCAAGGGTTTCCATCTCATCTACTTCTCCTTTGTCCCCCAGAGGCCTCCCACAATGCTGGGCACAGAGCACTACAGGAACTTGTTAAGTGCTGATTCATTTAGAAAAGGGATGCTGCTGGCCTGTCTTTCTCAGCCCTGGCTCCTTGGTCTTGGCAGCCCACGGGGTCCATCCAGGCTGTGTTATTATTGGACGTTAGAGCCAGGGAGGAAGCCTGGCAAGAAGAGTGGGCCTTTCCAGAAGTGGAGGGTGTACTAGTTCCTGGGAGGGTTTGCATTTTTTAAAGGTTAAAACAACCTGGCTTGAACTGGGAAAAATTCAAATTAAAAAAGAAAAAAAAAACAATAATAGTAAAGCTTAAACAAACAACCGAAGGAAAGACCTCCCCAAATCTGAAAATGGGTGGGAGAATTCGAATCTGAAGTAATACAAGAGCTTACCATCTCCATCGAACACCGGCTGGGTCTCCATCGTGGGTGTCGGCTTAGACCCGTCATCTGAATTGAGGGTTAAAAAGAATCGAAAAGAGACTACCATTATTGAGGTAAATACTATCTACTCTCCAGCACTATTGAATGGTTGGGGTTTGCACATGGCCCGGCCAAGTCCCAGTGAACAGACCAAAGAGAAGGGAAAGAAAGAAGAAAAGAACAAGAAGGAAAAGAGAATCACAGAGAGACACAAACAGTAAGACAATCCAGGTGTGTGCTTGCCATTCCAGGGAAGGGACCCAAGTTGTCATGGCTCTGGAGGGCCCCTTCTCATAACTCTGTACCAACATGACTCCGTCAGCCCTTGTTCTTTCCTCAGGAAAGCTGGGAGGGCTATCTTCACCAGCAGCCCTGAGTTTTGGCCAGAAATGTTAGGAGATGCTGGCACTCTTGTGGCATCAAATTCTGATGTCCCCAGCTCCTTCCTGCCCTCTTGTGAAAGGTACTAGCTGGTACCTTTTTAGTGGCCTTCACTGAAGAGCTTAAGGAAAACAAGAAAACATGGTGCCATTTCCTCCCAAAGTCCTAGCTATTTCTCCATCCTCATCTAAAAACAAAGTGAAGGTAAGAAGGACATTTCTCTCTCCAGCATGCTGAACTAAAAAGAATGGGGAATCCTTAGAACACTTTGAACTCTTGAAACAGCATGCACCCCAATTCCCAAGGAGAGGTTGGGGCAAACAAAATGGGAGAAAACATGAGTAATTGCACCCTGGGTTTGCTTTGAAATTTCTAACACAGATGATAGGAGCAGGGAGTTCTCAGTAACAAAGTTCTAATACTTATGGTCCTAGTAGTGTTGGCAGCTCTCTCTGTAGACCAAAAACCTCTACGGATCAGAGTAAGTTCAGACTTTATTTACCTTTCAGGACTCTGAATTATGTTCATCAAGATCCCAAAAGCTTAATTTTGAACAGTGTTTCTCAACTTTTTTTTTTTATTGCCCATCTAAAGAGTATTTTTAGACTTTTTCTCCTAATTAATTTCCTAGTGAAATGTTAATAACAAAGATACATTGTATACCTGTTTGTGTCCTGTATGTAAATCTGTGCTTTATATGTAAAAAGAGCAAGTGCTCTTTTGTGCCCTAAGAACCAATTTCCACCTCCTTGGTGAAAGCTGGGAGCAGGTATCTTTACCTGTGTTGAGAACGCATACTTCCGAGATTTTTCTGTTTTCTCCCTTGGGAGGGAGAGGGAAGAAGAGCACCGTGGTCTCGGACACCGTGGTTACACAATCCCTTCTTCCCAAGACCCCCAGAGATCTTTTAGGACTGAACACTATATTCTCCAAGCATTAACTATGGAGAATGCAAGTTCTCACATAGCCTGCAACGCCAGTCAGATCATCAATAACGACAGCCGTCACCATTTGGAGCTCCCAGAACTCTTGGCAGAGTTCCCTGCATCTTATCAGGGGAGGGAGAGAGAACACAGAGTCCTGATCCCTTTCTTACACCAACACCCCACCTCTGGAATCTTAAGATTCAATAGCTATGGAGACCCTAACCCTCGCTTGAGGCTGAGGCCAGCAACCTGGCAGTTGTGTGACACCTGACCCTGCTATAATTCTCATGTGCCAACGTAAGACCCAACTCCCGCAGCGGCCAGGGTGATCCTGACCTATCCGACAATCACCCGCAGACATGAGACGTGGCAGGAGGAGAGGAGTAATGAAGCTGAATATCTTATTTGCCTCAAACTGGGATCCAGAACAGCCATCTTTTGATGCCAAACTGTGTACGTTTGATCTGGAAGTCATTGAGGGAGAAGAAACACAGAGCAGAGCCACACAGTGTCATTTTTAAAAATGGCATCACTTCCCTGACTCTATTAACACCTCTTTCCATTGAATTCAATGAACCACTGAATGAAGTTTTTTGGCAGCTGCAATGCACATTTGGTTGCTGCTGCCGGATGCAGAGTTCACAGTCTAAATAGACCTGCACAGCGTGCTCAGCCCCTCCACACAGGGTGGCTTCATTTCAGGAGTCTTAAAGGGAACAAAGGGAAAGTGAGAAATCAAACATTCTCAGAGGGACGGCAATGACAAGCCAAGTGAAAAATGGCTTATGAGATATTTTAATATTCAATTAAGATCCTCCCATACTCCAAGAGCTGTATCTCCCTCTGGAGCAGGATGACAGAAAATACTCTGTTTACTTCTCCCATCATCCACATGAGAGTCTGGGACTGCCCATCTGGTCCAGCAATCAGTAAAGAAATCTGCTGCTCAAGGAAAGGAAGGAGGGTTTCCAGTCTCCCCGGGGAAGTCGAGGACCTCCACAATTGCCCAGATGCAGGCCCAGAAGCCCACATAGCATGAAGCCACGTGCAGGGAGTGAATCTTCCTGCAGGGTAGGGTCACCGAGGGTGAAGACATACAGCTGCACTGCCACCATGGAGGCCCTAGCTGGAAATCTTTATGAAGTGAGAAGAGATAAAGTGCCCTGCTGCCAGGAGAGCCACCTGTGAAATCCAGCATGCCCCAAGGATGGGCAGCCAAGCCAAAGCCAACAGGACCCCCTGACCATCATCTCCGGGCACCTGGGCACCTGGCATCCAACCCAGCAAACAAGCGCACCCTTCTACCATAGGTCCAAGGCCTGGGTCCAAGGTCCACATCAGGCCTGCTTCCTGGCAAGCCCTGGGGCAACACCAGGACCTACACTGGGCCCGGGGGAGAGAGAAAAGCTTCCGCATGTGCCCCTGGCCTCCCGGTCTCCAGTGGGGTCACAGTGCAGATACCGGCTTTGCAACCAACTAAGTTGGGTAACCTGAACCCCTCACTTTTCTTCTCTGGGCAGTGATATCCTCTTCTAAAAGTGAAGGATGGCTGCACTCCTAGCCTCAGGACACTGGGTAGCTGTAAAAGACTCTAAAGGCCTCTTAAAGAAGGTATTAAATCATCGAGTGTTAAATCATCTTATCCAACTGCTTGCTTTTAAAACTGGATTTGTAGAATTAAAATTCTATAAAGTTTTAAAAATAAAAAGTAAAGTAAACCTTACAGCTCAATAAGAAGACAAACAGCCTGATTTTAAAATGGGTAAAATATTTTAATAGTCATTTCAAAGATGCACGGACAGCTAATAAATACATGAAAAGATGCTCAATATCATTAGTTGTTAGGAAACCACAAATTAAAACCACAGTGAGATACCACCACATACCTACTAGAATGGCTAAAATTTTTTAAATAGACACTATCAAGAGACAAGGATGTGGAGAAACTCAAACCCTCATTCCTTGCTGATGGGAATGTAAAACTGGGTAGCCATGATGGAAAAGAGTCTGGCAAATTCTTTAAAAAGTTAAACATAAACTTACCATTCAATCCAGAAATTCCACTCCTGGGAATCTATCTAAGAAAAATAAAGACATATCCACCCAAAGACATGTATACAAATACTGATAGCAGCATTATTCGTAATACCCTTGAACTGGAAATAATCCAAATGTTCGTCTACTGGTGAAGAGATAACCAAATTGTGATATACCCATACAATGGAATATTACTTAGCAATTAAAAGGAATGAATTACTGATATGCGTAATAATATAGCTGAACTTCAAAAACATTATACTAAATGAAAGAAGCCATGTGCAAATACTACATATTGTTTGATTCCATTCATATGAAATGCCTAGTAAAGATAAATCTATAGAGACAGAAAGCAGATACATGGTTGCCTGGAGGAGGGAGTGGGGTATAACTATAAATGGGTACAAGGTTTCTTTGGGGGTGATGGAAATGTTCTCTGGTAATGACCGCACGTCTCTATAACGGTACTAAATTCATTAAATTGTACATTTACATTGGGTAAATTTTATGGTATATAATTATACCTTAATAAAGTTTTTAAAACAAAGCGGGGATGGAGTACCAAAGTCATCACAGGTAAATCGTCAGGTGGCAGTAGCTAGATTATCTGAGCAATCCTTGATTTGGGGGGAGACTCTCCTGTATATCTTAAAGAAAACTATATCTCAGTTTACATGAATGCATATAATGATCTCATGTGCGTGTATGTTTAATCTTGGTGATTCTTTTAGACCTCAAATAGTAAGACTTTCTTTCTCTTTGATACCATAATACTCTTTCAGACCGAGAAGAACATAGAATACTGAAAAAACCCGATTCAAAGATGACAATTTCTTTTACAGGGAGAAAAAAGTAAATTAGGAAACATTAAAAAAAAAAAAGGCAAATCTGAGAGAATTTCTCAAGGATGATGTCAAGATCAACTATAATAAGTGTTACCACATTTTGCAACACTCAGAGTTTCTGGCAGGTGGCTTTCTTCATCTATTCTCACCACCGGCCAGGGCAGAGGAAGTCACCAGGCAGATAAAAAGAGATTGAGTTTCAGCGCAAGAAAGTGATTTGCTCAAGGCTCCAGAGGCAGTGAGCAAACGGCGCTGGAAACCACCCAGGCCCAGAGCGGGGCGTCTGGCCGCAGGAGATCCCCCAGCCCCCAACCACGCCTCTCCTTGCAGGTGCAGCCCCAGAAAGCCGCAGCCCCCGCACGGGCTCTGCGAGCCTATCCAGACAGTGGGTTTGTGTGACAGCACAATTCTTTGCCCTGCGAGAAGGCCTGGCCCACGCGCAGACAGCTGGAAGTCACTTCGACCCCTGATGACACCGTTCAAAGCCTCCTCTGTTTGGCTTTTTGATTCCTGATTGACATTCGCTGGCGAGTGGAGATAAATGCGGGGCTGAGGACAATGTTGACCGGCTCTGACTATTCTCAGGGAAAGACTTTTCAGAATAACAAACAAAACAAAACAAAACCCCCAAAACATTGGTGTGCTTATGGGACTGAATAGAGCCCAAGAGGTCCAAGGAAGCAGGGCCGGGCCTTTCAAGGGGCTGGCAAGTCCATTGAGGAGTTAATTGTTTGGGTGTACAATGAGTTTATTCTGACCACATACAAAGAGCTTTCTCTTCCAGGTCCTTCAAAAGCAAATGTGTCAAAGGGGCCAGAGGAGGAATCTGTATTAATGGCATCTCTTGGGGTCTCTGAGACTGAGGAACGTT